TGAACGCCATCTAGGGGGAGCATTCGTGACCTCCCCAGTGCCCCTTGGAGTGTTCACACCAATCAATTAGAACGTTGGCAACTTGCAACATAAGTGTGAAATCGCAAGGGAAGTAGTTAAAGAGTGCATCCCTGGGCGGCTATACGAACGTTGGCCAGGGGGAGCATTTCTGTCCCGAAAAGAGACACTTCCCTTGTCTGGTTTCACCCGGGGATCCCACGAGCGGAGGTGGTTACCGTTCTGGGCATCCCTGATTGGTGGGGACACTCTTTTGGGGACAATGGAGGTTTGGCGGGCTTTCTGTAGCTGGGAGTCACAGAGGACAAACGGCGGACCAGAAAGAGGTCGCATAAGGGTCGGCCATCCTGGCCTGAAAGGCCAAGTTGCCCTTTGCTGCCTTCAAAGAGTTCATGGAGGCAGAAGAAGGCATTGACGACTTCCTGCAGGATTTCGAGCACCAGTGTCAGGAAGTTGCACCCGCACAATCTTGGCCAGGACCCTAACGGAGAGGGCGGCAAAGGCTTACCGAGATGTACCCGCAGACAAGATCCAGGAGTACGAGGTTGTCAAGGAAGTCCTCCTAGCCCAGTATGTGGTGACCCCGGAGGTGTACCACAGGAAGTTCAGGGGCACCAAGAAGGGCGAGAAGAACTCCCATGTGGAGTGGGCATGCCACATCATCCGAGCCACCCAGAACTGGATGGCCTCGCAACAAGCCAAGTCCCCCAAAGTCCAGTTATTCATGCTTCAACACTTTTATAACAGGCTCCCCACTGAGGTGCAGGAAGGGGTGAGAGACCGTCAGCCCAAGACCGTGACAAAAGCAGCCAAACAGGTTGACGAGTAAGCGGATACTCGCCCGTCACAACACCCTGCTCTCTCTCCCAGCTACCGCACCCACCATCTGACCTCTGTTACAAATCAACCCCACTACGGCAGTCCCCTACGTGGCTTCCCGGTCTGGTCATCCCCAGCGAGCATTCCCCGGAGCAGACCGGCGATGTTTCCAATGCAACCTATAGGGGTGGCAACCTGAAGGCTTACTATATACAACAAATCTGTGAGTGTAACCTTGAACCATTGGGCAATTAATAAGACCACAACAGTATTACGCTATGTTGTATTTTTTATTTATGTTTTAGTGATACAAGCTGGATCCCTATTCCATATGTACTTTTTATATAATTAGCATTTTGGGAGGTAACTGAAGGGAAGCAAGTATCCAAAGTTAAGTTTAACTTTTTATTCCACGGGTGATTTGGTGGAAGCTATTTTGTATTCCAATGCAACCAGCCTGGCCACATCAAAATGAACTGTCCCCAAAACCAGACCCGCGAGCAGCAGTCCTCTGCTACCAAGATGACCCCACAGATTTCCAGAGTCCAACAAAGAAGCCTGGACCATCCTGCATGAGGCGAACCCCCTCGAAGGCACCCCGTAAGTCCCCCTACGCCAGTACCCCATCACCGCCCCTGCCAGCAGACCACATGGGCTAACCCCCATAATCCAGTCCCCTGTACTGCCCCGCACAACTGGGCACCCCTTACCTGGGATACCCCGGCCGAGTTTGAGAGGGAGGTAGCATCCGACCTCACCCTCAAGGCATGTAAGACTGGGCAGACACGAGTCGGGTAGGGAAGGAGGGGGAGTGGTACCTTTGGGAGCGGCGACGACTGTACCGCATAGCGGAGAACAAGAAGTCTGGTACAGCTCCTACTACCACCAAGCAGGTAGCACCCAGGAAGTATCGACATGAGCTGCTGAACATTTCTCATGATATTCCCCTGGCAGGGCATTTGGGCTGGAGCCAGACCGAGAGTCAGCTCACCCAAAGCTTTTTCTGGCCAGGCATCTCTAAGGATCTGAGGCAGTATTGCCAGACCTGTGATGTCTGCCAGCGAGTGGGGAAGCGGGGCGACTGGCACAAGGATAAGTTTCAACACCATACATTCTGACCATTGTGGACTACGCAACTCAGTACCCTGAGACAGTCGCCCTGAGCAACATTTAGGCAAAGACTGTGGCCGAAGCCCTTATGTGAGTGTTCTCCCGAATGGTATTTCCCCATGAGATCATTTCGGACTGGAGCTCCCAGTTTACTGCCGAAATGACCGTACAACTGTGGAGGTTATGCTGCATTAAACTGATCCCGAGCTCCCCTTACCAATCCCCAGACCAATGGCCTGTTAGAGCACTTCAATGGCACATTGAACGGGCGGGGAGTGAGGGGCCCCCTAGACCTTGTCCGAGAGCACTGGGAGGAAGCTGGGGATCAGGAAGGGACCCCCATCATCCCATATGTTCTGAAGTTTAGGGATCGGCTCATAGGCATGCGCACGGGGTGTGCCGGGTGTGCCTGGGCACACCTTAATCCCTGCGGCACGCCTATGTATATTGAGACTGTCGGCTCATGCAGAGCTGGCGCTATCCGAGCGCCGGAACTGCTCTCAGCCTCCCTCCACACCGACCCACAGGCAGGGAGGGAGGCAGGAGAGGACCGGCGGAGCTATTGCCGGCAGCTCCGCCGGGTTCCTCTCGCGAGATATGAGCATTGCCACTGGACCACCAGGGATGGAATCAGCTGCAACAAGGATCCCCCCTCCCTACAAAAGGTAAGAAGGGAGGGGGGATAGCAAGTAATGTACCCCCACCTCCACCCCCACAATCACCCACCCACATACATCACACATACAGCACACACAGACATACAACACCCACACACACACAGCACCCACACACATACAGCACCCACAGACATACACAGCACCCACACACATACAGCACCCACACACATACAGCACCCACAGACATACACAGCACCCACAGAGATACACAGCACCCACACACATTCAGCACCCACAGACATACACAGTACCCTCACAAACACACACAGCACACTAACAGTACCCTCACAAACACAAACAGGAACCTAACAAACACACACACAGCACACTACCAGTACCCTCACACACAAACAGCACCCTCACACACAGTACATTGACAGCACCCTCACAAGCGCACACACACACACAAACAGTACATTAACAGCATCCTCACAAGCACGCACACAAACACCATCACCCACATAGCACACTACCAGCACCCTCACACAGCACACACATACACACAGCAGTGTGTGTATGTGTGTATATATGTGTATGTATATATATATATACATAGAACAAAACAAAAAATAGGGCCACAAGAGTCCTAAAATTAGGAGAGTAATATAAAAAATAGAAAAGGGGAAAGGGGGTCCCTACCTTTAATAAACCTAAGAATACACACAACAGGACAGGTGGGAAGGGGTATAGCAAAAGAGAGCCCTCCAGAATAGACACAGGAAGCCAGTTACTAAAAAGGCCCTGCCTGCTAAATGTCTTTATCCTGGAACTCTAATGGTACGCCCTCTAAATCTCCCAGAAACAGGGACCCTAATGGAAAAAAGGTAAGTAAAAAATTAGAAGAGGGAGCAAATTGGAGGGAAATGCCCCAAGTAGGAAGTATTAGGCAGAAACCCCTATAAAGAACTGCTATCCCTCATTACCTCGGCACTGTGATGAATCACCAGTGCCTACCAAAGAACTCAGTCCCTGCCTGTCAAAGATTAATAGTAACTGATAAAATAAATTAAATTAAATCAATCCATCAGTGCTACCAAAATAAAAGTGCAAAGCAAAAAAACAAAATAAAGAGAAGCTCGACGCGCGTTTCAGCGTTTCAACACGCCGTCGTCAGGAGCAATAAACTTTTGAGGTTCCCTGTAGCGATTTAAATACACCTTGTTACAATCTACAGAGAATAGGAACAGCTGTTATGACCCACGTGTGCGGCCGTTTATACTGTGTGCTTATTGGTCAGTTGTCTCTTAGGTCCGCCCCTTATCAGCCGCGTCATAGGACGTGGTATTAAAATGAATAGAAGGGCGTGATGATAAGATTCAAGCAATACCCACGTGGGGAAAGTATGAAATTAATTCATCCGCAGAATTTTGAGTTCATTACGATACAATTTAAAGCCTTATTAGGGTATAAAGCTGAGGAGAGATTAGATAGTGATGATGGCTTATAGTTCATAGGAGTCCAGTATGCATACGCGCATACCGGCTGCCAATTGGTCCAATACCTATCCCTCCTGCCCATCTATCGAGTGGGTCTGCCACTTGTCAATCACATCATGTGGCGTAATAGCGAAAAGAATGAATGAGCACAATGTTAAAGTTTAAAGCATACCCCCATGAGACCCAAATCGGATTAATTGTTCCGCTTTTAGAACTATAAATTAGTTGCGGTATAATAATTAAAAATCCGTTAGGATCTCTGGATATTGGATAGTATTAGTCACCAATGGGTAAACTCGAACTCTAACTGCCCGTTATTCTATTATCTTATAAATCTACCCATCTGCGGATGAAATACTGGCATAAGTAGATGGGCATAATGGAAAGTAAACTATGAAAAGTACCCCCATGGAATCAAATATAGATATATAATAGCGAATAAGGGATTCCCATAGGTAAAAGTCAGATGTGAACCGCTGAGTATCAACACACACTTGGCACGATAGGGAATCCTAGTGTTAAATGACATAACACTAGGGAGCGTAAATGGTAGATGCTCAATATTACCACGTGGTTCACAATGATGACTAACTATGTCCCCTAAATATACATGTCCAAATAATGGGCAAAATTAAATAGCATAGATAAATCATGGCTATAATATGTATATATTGATGCTATAATGTATATATGAATATATTAATGTGATGACAGGGGACTAATTAAAATGTTACAGTAAGGACTCAAAATCCAAAAGAGTGGGTGACATAAAGTCCAGGTGATAATCATTCAGGAACAAGGGAAGTTATTCCCAAAGTAGAGAAGAAAAAGTTTATAAAGGTGTGTTTATTTAAAGTATAAAAATCTGTAGAGGGACTAACTAAAATCCCCTATAAATAATTTACATCCAATATAGAGAAGAAGAAAGATAGAGAGACATGACGAATTAAGTAGAAGTTAGAGAAAGGCGGTGAAGGAAAAACCCTCGTTTAGGCCAGCAGGGGAGAGGGTCTTGAGTTTGTAAATCCAATAGGATTCACGTTGCCTCAATTTCTTATCCCAATCGCCCTTACGTTGAGTTTGTGGGATATATTCTATTCCCATAAACTTTAGTTTATTGGCAGAATTTGAATGGTGAATTCTCAAATGGCGTGAGATTGGAGTTTCTAAGGGTCTTCTGACCGAATTTACATGTTCCCTAATCCTTAATTTGAAGGGTCTAAACGTCTTTCCCACATACTTGATGCCACATGAACAGGTGAGTAAATAGATGACCCCCTCCGTCCTACAATTAACAAACGAACGGACTGGAAAGGTTTCTCTATTGTTGCTGTCCGTGAATTCCTTAGATTTTTGATCAATGAATCTTATCATCACGCCCTTCTATTCATTTTAATACCACGTCCTATGACGCGGCTGATAAGGGGCGGACCTAAGAGACAACTGACCAATAAGCACACAGTATGAACGGCCGCACACGTGGGTCATAACAGCTGTTCCTATTCTCTGTAGATTGTAACAAGGTGTATTTAAATCGCTACAGGGAACCTCAAAAGTTTATTGCTCCTGACGACGGCGTGTTGAAACGCTGAAACGCGCGTCGAGCTTCTCTTTATTTTGTTTTTTTGCTTTGCACTTTTATTTTGGTAGCACTGATGGATTGATTTAATTTAATTTATTTTATCAGTTACTATTAATCTTTGACAGGCAGGGACTGAGTTCTTTGGTAGGCACTGGTGATTCATCACAGTGCCGAGGTAATGAGGGATAGCAGTTCTTTATAGGGGTTTCTGCCTAATACTTCCTACTTGGGGCATTTCCCTCCAATTTGCTCCCTCTTCTAATTTTTTACTTACCTTTTTTCCATTAGGGTCCCTGTTTCTGGGAGATTTAGTGGGCGTACCATTAGAGTTCCAGGATAAAGACATTTAGCAGGCAGGGCCTTTTTAGTAACTGGCTTCCTGTGTCTATTCTGGAGGGCTCTCTTTTGCTATACCCCTTCCCACCTGTCCTGTTGTGTGTATTCTTAGGTTTATTAAAGGTAGGGACCCCCTTTCCCCTTTTCTATTTTTTATATTACTCTCCTAATTTTAGGACTCTTGTGGCCCTATTTTTTGTTTTGTTCTGAGTTTTCTTATTCGAGGGTTATTCCCTCATTTGGGAGAGTAATTTCAGGACCTTTTAGCACTTATTCATCGGTCGTGGTTACGACCCCTGAATTAGAGCTATCACTCTTTATTTTATATATATATACATATATATATATATATATATGTGGCGTGTGCTTGTGCTTTAGGGTGCACACCCTAATGCAATAGGCTGCGTACGCCTATGGATCGGCTGGAGGAACTCACCCACCTGGTGCGATAGAACCTCCAGGCGGCCCAGAAGTGCCAGCGCACCTGGTATAATCGGGGTGCCAGGAGCTGTAGCTTTGAAGTTAGGCAGAAGATTTTGATTCTAAAGCCCCGTCCAACATGGTAAGCTGCAGGCTGCCTGGCAGGGCCCATACCGGGTTGTGGAATAGAAATGTGACACTACCTATGTGATCGGCACATGTTTGGGTACTGGAGTCTGACGTCTGTTGCATGTCAACATGTTGAAGCCCTACCACGAACAGACTGAGGATGTAGCCACCATATGTGCTTGAGCATCAGAAGATTTTGACAATCTTAGAGGAGGGAGCTCAGGCAGGGTCCATAGATGAGGTCCACTTAGGGGACCGACTAACCGAAGAACACCGACAGGGCCAGAGGATGCTGTTGGCAAGAAAGGAGACTTCTCAAACCTGCCCAGGTATACCCCACTAGCCACCAACCGGGTAGAGAACCCTGACAAACAGCCCCTGTGGCAAACCCCCTACCGAGTACCAGAGTCTGTGCAAAGGAACATGCTGCAGGAGTTTCAAGAGATGCTCTGTTTAGGGGTCATCGAACAGTCCCAGAATTCCTGGGCCTCCCCAGTTGTGTTGGTCCCAAAATGAGATGGGACTACCAGGTTCTGTGTGGACTACTGGAGGCTCAATGACAAGACGGTCTCAGACACCTACCCCATGCCCTGTATAGATGAACTGCTAGATAGAATGGCTCTGGGGCCGGTACCTCACCACTGTAGACTTGTGCAAGGGGTACTGGCAGACTTCCCTGGTGGCAGATCCTGTCCCCAAGTTGGCCTTCGTCAACCCATTCGGCTTGTACCAATTTAAGGTGATGCCTTTTGGGTTGAAGAAAGCCCCTGCCACCTTCCAGAGGATGGTGGACCGGCTACTGTATAGAAACATAGAAACATAGAATGTGACGGCATATAAGAACCATTCGACCCATCTAGTCTGCCCAATTTTCTAAATACTTTCATTAGTCCCTAGCCTTATCTTATAGTTAGGATAGCCTTATGCCTATCCCACGCATGCTTAAACTCCTTTACTGTGTTAACCTCTACCACTTCAGCTGGAAGGCTATTCCATGCATCCACTACCCTCTCAGTAAAGTAATACTTCCTGATATTATTTTTAAACCTTTGTCCCTCTAATTTAAGACTATGTCCTCTTGTTGTGGTAGTTTTTCTTCTTTTAAATATAGTCTCCTCCTTTACTGTGTTGATTCCCTTTATATATTTAAATGTTTCTATCATATCCCCCCTGTCTCGTCTTTCCTCCAAGCTATACATGTTAAGATCCTTTAACCTTTCCTGGTAAGTTTTATCCCGCAATCCATGAACCAGTTTAGTAGCCCTTCACTGAACCCTCTCTAAGGTATCAGCCTCCAAGAGTATGCTTGTGCATACCTGGATGACATCGCCATTTACAGCAAAACTTAGGAAGAGCACCTAGTACACATGGGAGCTGTACTAAACCGGATTAGGGAGGCAGGGATGAGCCTCAAGCCCAGCAAGTGCCACCTAGGGATGGCAGGGGTGCAGTACCTAGAACACCGGGTCAGGTGTGGGTCCCAAAAACCTGAACCAGACAAAATAGAGGCCGTAGCTAACTTGTCCACGTACTTGCACCAAGGTCCAAGTGATGGCCTTCCTAGGAACTGCGGGTTATTACAGGAAATTTGTCCCCAACTACAGCGCCCTAGCTAGGCCCCACACTGATTTGACCCAAAAGACCTTCCCCCGACAGGTAGACTGGGCCCCAGAGTGTGAGCAGGCATTCCAAGACCTCAAGAATGCCTTGGTGTATGCCCCTGTCCTGGCTGCTCCTAATCCCAGAAAACATTTTCTCGTTCACACAGATGCCTCCTTGTTTGGGTTAGGAAGGGTACTGAGCCAGGTCGGCGACTATGACGGCAAACACCCTGTCGCTTACCTCAGCAGTAAGTTATTACCCAGGGAGGTAAGCTATGCCACCATTGAAAAGGAGTGCCTGGAGGTGGTGTGGGCCCTCAAAAAACTACAGCCCTACCTCTATGAACAGCAATTCACCCTGCTCACGGATCACAACCCGCTGGTATGGCTTGACCGGGTCTCTGGGGACAATGCCAGGCTGTTATGATATAGCTTGGCGCTACAACCATATGACTTTACCATCCACTATAGACCCGGTAAGCAAAACAGCAATGCCGATGGGTTATCAAGACAGACAGCCCTGGAGAAGTGATCCGTGAGCACTCCCCGGACAAGATAATGACAAGATGGTCTCAGACACCTACCCCATGCCCTGTATAGATGAACTGCTAGCTGATCTGTTGGGCTCAGACTGCGTATGTTGGCTTGTGGTTAAGGGGGAGCTGTGTGGCGGGACCGCTGTCTGTTCATGACTTGCTAGTTGTTATTCCCTGTGTTTTCCCCTGTATTGTGTTATATTCCTGTGTTTTACCTGCTCTCCGTTCAAGAGAGCCAATACGAATGAGTTAGGTTTGCCTCCTGAATGGGGACCACCACGAAACCTCATTTAGAATGTTGTCTTAGAACGTTCACACCTCGTAACAAGGTGTCAATACCACAAATCGCAAGGGAAGCCCCGGCGCATGCCGACCCTGAGTGGCATCCCGCTTGTTAGACAAACGCCATCTAGGGGAAGCATTCGTGGACAAAGGGACTGGAGTTCCTGTCACATGCACAGGCCCCTGGGAAGGGGAGGACCCTGGGACAGGTCATTGAGTGGCGGGAACAGGGGACAAAAGGAATGGGGTTCCGGTTCCGTTATGCGACCCCCGGGAGAGGGAGGACCCTGGGAGGGGACATTGTTGTTGTGTGTGATCCACCTCTTGCATGGGGAAAGTATAAAGCCGAGTGTGGCTCATAAAGTTTTGTTGTACCCCAAGGACAGTGTGTTGTCCGGTTACTGGGTGGGAAATGGGTCTCTCTGTATTATAGCTGATTCCCAGGGACAAGACGTGGCTGAGCAAGGATGACTGGTCGGGTCTTCGGCAGGCCCGCTACAAGGGGTATGTTTCTAAACCCCTACACACATATTAACCCTTATAGCGGAAGACAGCAAGGTGAATTGTTGGTGTAGGACTCACCTACCAGGTTTGCCTCAACATGGCAGGTGATCTTACATTTAAATGACCATTGGAGTGATACTATAACATGTACAGCCGCACCTTGTGGCATTTGCGCTCAGCGGCCGTGCGTCTGTATACCTGACCCCTGCAACATGTTGATAACAACATCGGCGTGTGTGTGATGTCACTCGGGAGACACAAGCGCATGTTCTGGGGTCAAAGGCTGATTTTCAGCCAATCAGAAGTGAAATAGGCTTATTTAAACTCCTTATGCCTTTTCATCATTGCCTTGTCGTGGTTTCCCCAGTGGTTGTCCGAGATTTTTACTTCTGGTTATTGGCTTTGTATTGACTTCCCTGTATTCTGGTATCCCTGACTTTTGGCTTTCCCTAATCGTTGTGTCTCTTTCAGTATCCCTGACCTCAGCTAGTATTCTGACAATTCTCTGGTACATTTAGTCCGGGAATTCTAAGGCCCGGTAATACGTTATCTATTAGTCCACGTATGATACAATTCTACGTGCTGAATCAACTAATAATCCTGACAGATACTAAAAAAGCTCCAGTTATTTAATATGCGTATGGATTTGGGATAGTGTGCAAGTAACTCTTTTCTTTGTTTTTTATTTTATGTATTATAGTCAGGGCTCGAGTCCTGCAGGAACGCATGGGAACGGCGTTCCTGCACTTTTTCCAAAGCAGGAACGCCGTTCCCGTTACCTGTCCTGCAGGACCGGCCCTACTACCTGCACTGAGGGGCCATCACACGCTGTGTTCCCTCTCCAGCTATAACTCTCGCGAGACCCGCGGCTGTTACCATGGCAACGCTCCGCACAGGCGATTCTCGCGAGAGTTAGAGCTGGAGAGGGAACACAGTGTGCGATGGTTCCTGTGTGCAGCGGCTGGCTCCCTCCACC